TGTATGTAAGTCCTCATTATAAACTACCTCAAATCCTTGGAATTAGATGGGTTACCAACAACAACAACAAAAATGAAACAATAAAACAGGATCCATCAGCCTGCCTTATGAGTAGAAACAAATTCTTTCAATCAATGATTTATCAATTTATTGAGAGGGAGATTAAAGAGCAGGAGAGAAATACAATGGTTTGTCTGGTAAATGCTCATCTTGGTGACCAAACTATTCCACCAGGAACACCAGTGAGCATATTTTTCAATTCAGTGACATCTGAGACAATAATTAGAAACTAACATTTGTCCATGGGTATTTTTCTTCCTCTTCTCTCCTCCTTCTTACCCCTCTTTAACTTACTTGGTTTAACCTCCGGCCTACTGGGAACACACAGGTGTAAGTAGGGTGATGCTGGAGCTACATTAGTGCTGCCTATTTGTCAGACTAGATACTCAAAGCCATTGCACTCTTTGTGTTCTACATCTCACAGAGAAGTCACAAGGGACACATTCAGAGCTTCAACATTTACTGGACACTATGAATAATTCACTGTAATTCTATATAGCTACACGAGTCTTGAGCCTAAGAATTGAAATCGAAGTTTTGTTTCTCATCAGGTAACAGTCTTAAACTCAAAAACCAGCCCCCAATTTTTTTTTTCTTTTTTGATTTTATTTTATTATTATTTTTTTTTATCCTCACCCGAGGACATTTTTCCATTTTTTGCACAGATAGAGTGGGAGGGAGAGAGAGGAAGAGAGAGAGAGAGAAACATCGACGTGAAAGGGACACATCGAGTGGCTGCCACCCGCATGACCAACCAGGGCCGGGGACAAACTGTAACCGAGGTATATGCCCTTAGCGGGAACCGAACCCGGGTCTCTCCGGACCGCAGGCCGACGCTCTAACCGCTGAGCCAAACCGGCCAGGGCTCTTTTTTGATTTTAGAAAGAAAGAAAGGAAGGGGGAGAGAGAGAGAGAGAAAGAGAGACACTGATGAGAGAGAACATTGACTGGCCACCTCCTGCACGCCCCGCACTGGGGATCAGGCCCACAACCTGGGCATGTGCCCTGACCAGCTAATGAACCAGCAACCTCTTGGTGCATGGGTCGATGCTCAACCACTGAGCCACACTCGCCGGGCCCAAATTTAAAGCAAATATTCAACCACCCATTTCTTTAAAATACCTATATAATAACACAATTTTAATTAAAGTCCAATATAGCCACATGTATTTACTACTTTAATTTTAAAAGACATCAAATTAAACTACAGCATATTATACACCAATCTATTCATTTTCAGTGTTTTCATTTTTTATATTTTAATTTGAATCTTTACATCATAAAGTGTTCAGGTTAGATTTTACTCACCAGAGCTGTAATATAAATATCTTTTTTTTTATCCTCACCAGAGGACATTTTTGCATTTATCTTCAGATAGAGCAGGAGGGAGAAAGGGAGGAAGAGAGAGAAACATTGACGTGAGAGAGACACATTGACTGGTTGCCACCCACACAACCCCAACTGGGGTGGGGACAAACTGCAGCCGAGGTACGTGCCCTTAGCGGGAACCAAACCCGGGACTCTCTGGTCCTCGGGTTGATGTTCTAACCACTGGCAAAACCAGCCAGGGCAATATCTTTTTTTTTTTAAGAAGATATTTCTTCCTTTTAGGAGAACAAAGCACTTCTAACCAATCCAAACAACCAATTCTGATTCTCATCCTCCTCCTCAGAAATAAATTAATTTTGCATTGTGTACTTTTTAAACAAATGTGTGTGACAGAGGGGAAGGTGGGAGAAGAGGGCTGGAGAGGCTTGTTTTACTAGCTGATTTCAAATCTTTCCAGATTCTTGAAAAGAGCATGTTCAAAAATGTTTTGCCTACACTGCAGATTTTTGGCAGGGTAACTTTGTCCTATTTCAAAAGCTTTGCTGAATTTGAAAAACTACAATTACTGTTTTCATCCTGTCATATAAAAAATCCTGAGGAATGATTAAGGCTATTCTTCATTGCCTATGCACACCAACCCCAACATGCGGAACGGCTTAGATTTGGCCTGTAGTCACGAAAGACACCAAGAGACGTAAAAGAGAGGAACTCAGCTAAATCCTCACATAGCTCAGGATAAAACCTCAGTGATTAGAAACTGGTGACCTGATTTTTTCTTTTCTTTTTTTTTCATTTAAGAAGAAAGTTTATTTAATGAATGTCTGGTGTCTTATGGAATCTTCAGGATTCTGAGAAAATCAGATTCAGGGCTACACAGTCAGGAACAATAGGCAAAAAGCAAAAAAATTGGTTCAGTGAGTTCATAATCTACTCAGTCTATCATCAAAATACCAGAGACTTGGTGGCTAAAACAACAGACATTTATTCTCGCAGATCTGGAGGCTTGGAAGTCAAGATAACGGTTCTACCGATTTGATTTCTGGTGAGAATGCTCTTTCTGGGTTGCGGATGGCGATGTTCTCACTATGTCCTCACATCGTGAAGTGATTTTTTATAAGGTAAAACACAAAAACAATCAAATACTTCTCTAAACAAATTATTTATTTACCTTAAAAATATTTTTAGCAGGATTATTCCAATGGCAGCCAAGAAAATGCAGCTGCTTGCAGTTTTGTTTAGCAAAAGGTGACCTGGGTTTAAGTTAAAGTATCAGAACTCATTCTTTTTTTTTTTTTTATCCTCACCTGAGGACATTCCTCCATTTTTTGTTCAGATAGAGTAGGAGGCAGAGAGAGGAAGAGAGAGAAACATCAACATGAAAGGGACACATCGAGTGGCTGCTACCCACACAACCCAACCAGGGCCGGGGACAAAGTGCAACCGAGGTACATGCTCTTAGTGGGAACCGAACCCAGGTCTCTCTGGACCGCAGGCTGATATTCTAACCGTTGAGCCAAACCGGCCAACACAGAACTCACTCTTACATCAGGTAAACAGCTCTGCTTGGCAAGCAGATGATAAAAAGAAAAATATCCTCGGGTGAGGATTAAAAAAAAAACACAAAAAGACAAAAGTATTCAGTATTCTTTGCTGTTGGAGATTCAGAAAGAATAGGCAGACTGCAAACCCAATCAGCTTACGATTTTATTCACGAAAAATATTTTGTCTTCAAAACAATGGAAAGGAGAAGTGGTCATCATATTACAAAGCTTCATATATAACACAGCTAGAGAAAATTTAAAAATCCTTTTCCCTTGTTTTACTCAAGGAACCATTTAACCCATTTCTACAAGGCAATAATACAATGTATGAGACCTGAATATTATAATAATTTTTTTTTAATTCAAGTGAGTCAGTTTTCTTTTCCTTTAAAAAATTTTTTTTTTCTTTATTGATTTTAGAGAGAGAAAGGGAGAAGGAGAGAGAGAGAAATATCAATGACCGCCTCCTGCAAGCCCCTCACTGGAAATCGAACCAGCGACCTCTTGGTGCATGGGTTGATGCTCAACCACTGAGCCACACCGGCCAGGCAGTTTTATTTTCTTTTACTCCTCACCCAGGGAGAGGAAGGGAGAACGAGAAAAACATTAATCAGTTGCCTTCCGTACATGCCCCAGTGCAGGGGACAAGTTCAACTAACTGAGCCACTCAAGCCGGGCTTAAGTGAGTCAGTTTTCAAATTTCACTTGTTCTTCATCAATCCTAAGTAAAAGGAGTAAAGTGAGAGGCGGGGAGAGATGCTTCTTTGAAATAAAGATGGAAGGTCAGATGTATGTGTAAATCAAAATTTTATAATAAAAAGAATAACAACTCTGCCCCCAGAACAGGAATGTTTTCTCTAAGCCAAAACATTTGCTTGGATAGTGTTTTGGTATCCTCACATTGACGCACACAAAATCACCTGTATTAAAAACAGAAAATTGAAATCTGCATTTCTGAAATACAATGAAGACTTTCCTACAGAATCATGTTATAGTGCTGAGTTACCATGCTAAGCAGAAGATACCCACATCCTAGTGTCTGGTATCTGTAAATATGCTACCTTACATGGCAAAGAGACTTTTGTATATGTGATTTAGGTTATGGAGTTTGTGAGAGAGAGATTATCCTGGATTATCGGGTGGACTCAATCAAATCATGTGAGTCCTTAAAACCAGAGAACTTTTCCCAGCTGTGGCCAGAGAGAGATGTAACAAAAGAAGAAAGGTCAGAGAGATGCAACGTTGCTAGTGTTGAATTAGGAGGAAGGAAACCACTAGCCAAGGAATGTGCATGGCCTCCAGAAGCTGATCTTGAAAGGCAAGAAAACAGCCCTGGCCGGTTTGGCTCAGCGGTTAGAGCGTCGGCCTGCGGTACAGAGTGACCCGGGTTCGGTTCCCGCTAAGGGCACGTACCTCGGTTGCAGTTTGTCCCCGGCCCTGGTTGGTCGTGCGGGTGGCAACCACTCAATGTGTCCCTTCACATCGATGTTTCTCTCTCTCTCTCTTCCTCTCTCTCCCTCCCGCTCTGTCTGAACAAAAAATGCAAAAATGTCCTCGGGTGAGATTAAAAAAAAAAAAAAAAAAACGCAAGAAAACATTCTTTCCTAGAGCCTCCACAAAGGAACACAACCCTGTTATACCTTGATTTTAGTGCATTAAAACCCATATCAGACTTCTGCCCCACAGAACTACGTAATAAATTTACTGTTTTAAGCTACCAACCTTTAGTAATACAGAAAACAAACACAGTAGCCTATATATACTCTTTGATGGACAATAAAGAGAACTTCCTTTTGGGAAAAATAATGGCATGTCCTACTAAAAAACGAAAGTTGCCTACTGAACTAGTATAATTTAAGGTAGAGGCTTTCCATAAAAATTTGTAAATATAAGCTTTAAATCCATTTTAAACCTTTCAGACAATGGTCCAATATTAAGTGTTACATATGGGTGAGTCAACAAACCTTGTTCCCATGTCACCTGCTCTCTAGTCCCAAAACAAGTCTCTCTAGTCCTCCCCCCCCCAAAAAAAGCCAGTACAGGTAGTGACCACTCCTGCAGATTACTTACTCAATGAATTCCTCTTTACACTGCTTTAGCATCTCACATGTCTGCTGGATCTCTTGCTCACTCAAAAGTACCAACATCCCAATAGTTAGGTGAAGTTTTTTTGGATTCTGGAAAATGCTGCTATCAACTCCATGATCCTGTTGAAAGGGAGAAAAATCTGAAACTCAGCCCATACAAAAGTAAACGGTAGGACTTCCAGTCAAGATGGCAGCGTAGGTAAACGCAGTATCACGTCCTCCCACAACCACATCAAGGTTACAACTAAACTACAGAACAACCATCATGCAAAACCGCCTGAAATCAAGCTGAATGGAAGAATACAACTATGGAATTAAAGAAGCAGCCACACTCAGACTGGTAGGAGGGGTGGAGGTGGACGGGCTGGTCCCACACCCATGTGTGGTGGATAAATATCAGGAGGACACCTCAGCTGGGAAGGTCCTCCCTGAGGACTGAGGGGTCCCTGTCCCACACCAGGCGCCCTGCTCAGGGTTCCAGTGCCAGGAAGAGAAGTCCACATAACTTCTGGCTGGAAAAACCGGTGGGAACTGAAGTTCAGGGAGGCTGAGGTGGCTGGAGCCCCAGGCAGCTCCTTAAAGGGCCCGCGCACGGACTTATCGGACTCTCTCCCTCTAAGCTTGGAGGGAAGGCAGCTCGAGGGGCACCAGGACATACAGGGAAGAACTGAGCTGTTTGGCACTGGAGCGAGGGCTGGAGAGGGGGCTTTCTCCAGGACAAACGTGCTGTCAGAGGCCTTTGTTCCTTTGGTGGCAGAGCCCTTCCCTGGGGTGGCAGACAGCCACCATATCTGGGACTCCAGCAACCTGGCTCACACTGGTAGCCCCGCCCTGGTGACTCCCTGAGGCCCCGCCCCACCCAACTTTCAGGCCCACCCAAGCTGTTGCCAGTTGCTTAACCATAGGATTGGCCTGTCATGGATCCTGCTTCAAATTTCCTAAATTCTTTCAAACAAGCAGCAGCTGGTCTTAGCCAGCCCCATACCACTCGTTAAGTAATACACAGAAACAGCCCTGGCCAGTTTGGCTCAGCGGTTAGAGCGTCAGCCTGTGGTCCAGAGAGGCCCGGGTTCTGTTCCCACTAAGGACGCGTACCTCGGTTGCAGTTTATCCCCGGCCCTGGTTGGTCGTGCAGGTGGCAGCCACTAGATGTGTCCCTTTTACATCGTTGTTTCTCTCTCTCCCTCTCCACTCTATCTGAATAAAAAGTGGAAAAATGTCCTCGGGTGAGGATTTAAAAAAAAAAAAGTAATACATGGAAACAAACACAGGGAAGCAGCCAAAATGAGGAGACAAAGAAACAGGTTCCAAATGAGAGAACAGAACAAAACCCCAGGAAAAGAACTAAGCGAAATGGAGATAAGCACCTAACAGATGCTGATTTCAAAATACTGCTCGTAAGATGCTCAATGAACTTAGTGAGAACCTCAGTGAACTTAGGGAGGGCCTCAAGAGCATAAAAAAGGACCAGTCAGAAATGAAGGAGGCACTAATTGAAATAAAGAATAATTTACACAGATTCAATAGTAGAGTACGTAAATCCAAGAAGCAAACCACTGATTTGGAATATAAGGAAGCAAAAAATGCCCAATCAGAACAACAAAAAGAAAAAAAGAATCCAAAAAAAATGAGGATAGTGTAAGGAGCCTCTGGGACAACTTCAAGCGTGCCAACATTCGCATCTTGGGGGTGCCAGAAGGAGAAGAGAGAGAACAAGAAATCGAAAACCTATTTGAAACAATAATGGCAGAAAACTTCCCTAACTTGGTGAAGGAAACAGACATACAAGTCCAGGAAGCACACAGAGTCCCAAACAAGATGAACCCCAGGAGGCCCACACCAAGACACATCATCATCAAAATGCAAAAGAGTCAAGACAAAGAGAGAATCTTAAAAGCAGCAAGAGAAAGGCAGCTAGTTAGTTACCTACAAGGGAGTTCCCATAAGGCTGTCAGCTGATTTCTCAAAAGAAACTTTGCAGGCCAGAAGGGAGTGGCAAGAAATATTCAGAGTGATGAAAAGCAAGAACCTACAACCAAGATGACTCTATCCTGCAAAGTTGTCATTTAGAATTGATAGTCATATAAAGAGTTTCCCAGACAAGTAAAAGCTAAAGGAGTTCATCACCACCAAACCGTTATTATATGAAATGATAAAGGGTCTTTTTGAAGAAAAAGATAAAATATATGAACAACCAAAATGGCAATGAATACATATCTATCAACAATGGAATCTACAGACAAAATGCACAGGCAGAACAGAAACATTCTCATAGATACAGAGAACATTTTGTTGGTTGCCAGATGGGGGGAGGTTGGGGGAATGGGTGAAAAAGGTGAAGGGATTAAGAAGTACAAATTGGTTGCTAGACTGACAAACCTCAAAGGGAACGGGGTTGGGGACCGGGAAGAGGTAAACCAAAGAACTTATATGCATAACCAATGGGCACAGACAACAGTGTCGGAAAAGGTGGGAGTGGGGTGGGAGTGGGGAGGTGGGGGTCATTGGGGGGAAAATGAGGGACATCTGTAATACATTCAACAATAAAGATTAAAAATAAAAGTTTTAATTTAAAAAAAAAAGTAAATGGTAGGAATAAAATTTAGTCCAGAAATAAATCAACACATTTATATATAACCAACTTATTTTTAACTAGGGTGCCAAAACAATTTAATGGAGAAAAGAGAATCTCTTCAACAAATGATTCTAGGACAATTGAATATCCATTTGCAAGAGAATGAAGTTTAACCCCTACCTTATACTATATTCAGGAATTATATCAAAATGGATCAATGACATACATATGAAGCTAAAACAATAAAACTCTTAGAAGAAAAATAGGGAAAAATCTTCATGACCTTGGACTTGGCAATGATTCTTAGATGATATCAATAGGAAGAGCAACAAAAGAAAAATAAATAAATTAGGCTTCATCTCAAATAAAAAATTTTGTGTATCAAAGAACATTATGAAGATAGTGAAGACAACCTATAGAATGGGAGAAATATTTATAAATCATGTCTGAAAAGAACCTATAACATATAAAGAACATTTACCACTCAACAAGTAAAAGATAAAGAACCCAATTGGTGTGGCTCAGTGGTTGAGTGTCAACCCATGCACCAAAACGTCGCCAGTTCAATTCCCAGACATGGCACATACCCAAGTTGTGGGCCAAATCCCCAATGGGAGCATGCAGGAGACGACCAATCGATGTTCTCTCTCATCGATGTTTCTATCTCTCTCTCCCTCTCCCTTCTTCTCTCTCTAAAATTAATAAAGAAAAAAAATGTTTTTAAAAAAAACCTCATTCACATAGGAAAGTTGCTCAAATAAGGCAGACTGGTGAAAAGATCACTGGCTTTGCAACCAGACTGGCCTAGGATCAAATTCTAATTCTGCCACCTATCAGCAGTGTGACCCAAAATAAGTTACTCAGTCTCTCTGAAATTCAACTTCATCATCTATAAAACAGACATTTCCTTCTCAGGGTTGTTTTGAGGATAAAATAAAATATATGTGAAGCCTCTGGAACACGGTAGTATGGAATAAATACAGGCCCCCCCCCCCCAGCTTTCTATGTGACTATGCAACACTCTAAACCAGCAGTTCTCAACCTGTGGGTCGCGACTCCTTTAGGGGTCGAACGACCCTTTCACAGGGTCGCCTGAGACCATCAGAAAACACGTATTTCTGATGGTCTTAGGAACCAAGACACCGCTCCTCTACCGGTCTCCAGGCGGGTCCGCCCACATGCAGATACGACCACATACAACATGAGGAACTATATTAAAGGGTCGCGGCATTAGGATGGTTGAGAACCACTGCTCTAAACCATTCTTGATCTTCCATCTAAATCACCATAGAGAACAAAATTAGGCTCTGATGAGTGATTTCGTTATTCTTTAAGAATGTTCACAAAAGCTGACTTTGATTTAAAAGTGTCTGTGTGTTATTAATAAAATGCCTTGTTATGTTGAATAAACTTCAGAAACAGGGTTTTGAGTCTTCTGGCTTATCAATTCTATCCAGACATAATAACGTGAAAGTGGAGAGGTTCTTAAAAATAAAAGACAAATAAATATTCAAACATCAGGTTTTAACACAGACGAGAAAAAATGTATTTTTATACTGACCAGAAAAAAGAATATCCTTACCATTAAAAATGAGCAAAGAGCATCTACCCTTTACCAAAAGACGCATCCCTCTTATCTTTGATGAGCATAATGAATAATTAAAGCTACTTCTCTAAAAGCTTAACTGTTCCTCCATAAGTTACTTGTAAGCACTAGTTAGAAACCCATCTACCAATCTACACTTATTCCAAAAAATAGGCACTCACCACTCAAACATTAGTGATGGTTTAATTGTACACCACCTGTTCCAACCAGACCCTCCGCTTCTTCCTGATGCCACACTTTCCCTCATGTCCCATATGGTATCGGTGGTATTACAACAGCTAACACATACAGTACTGCCTACGTGCCATGCGATGCTGTAAACATCTTAAATTTATTAATTCATTTACCCTTTGTATCAACACCAAGGTAGGTACTATTATTATTCCCACCTTAGAGAAGACCTCCTAAACATCTCTGGAATATATCCCCTACCAAATATGCCACAGACCCTATTCTTTTTTCCAAAAAACTGTACTAATAGTCTCTAACCGATAAGCTGTCTCTGGTACCCCACTCCTTAACTCTCAATTCATCCTCCACATTGCCTTCAGGATTATTTTTCTATAATGCTAAATTATTCACATTAGTCTCTACTTAAAATGTTTAATAGTTTCTGACTACCTATAGGATACATTCAAAATCCAAAACTCAGAAGACCTTTCACAACCAGGTATATACCATTCACCTTTCCCCTTAACTCCTACCTCTTCCCTACCCTACCCTACCCACTTTTTAGTCTCTAATCTTAATAAACTCCTACTCTCCCCTGAACATAGCGGACTACAACACCTCCATTCCTGGCAAGTGCCATTTCCCCTGCCCAAAATGCTCATCTCCTCCTTGCCAGCCTGGCACAAACTCACTCTTTCAAAACTGTGCTCAAGTGTCACCTTCCTTATGGAGACTTTTCTGACCACTGGCGAAAGAAACTCTCTTCTG